CTTAATCTGCAAGTTCCTTGATAATCAAACTAATTTTGCTACCCATGTCAAGCATGCTAGAGTTATATTACACATTCCACTAAGTTTATCTAATTCTTAATGAGAAAGGAAGTGGTGTTGCTGCCCTTCACTCTGAGGAGTGAAGACATCAACTTAAAAAAGACTACCTTGGCTAGGGTCAAAAGTCAGAAGAATTTTGCATGGCAGAGCTGAGGTGGAATAGGATCTGCTGACAGGCAACAATACAGAGGACTCCCAGCCCTGAATCTGTGAGCTAAGCTATTATGCTGAAAAACTGAGGTTAATGCCACAACAAAGAGAATGTACTTTCTTCTGCTTCTCTCTCACATGGTTTCCTGTTCCAAGAAGCACACATACACACACACACCCATTTATTCTTTTGGTGCATGACATCAATCTTTTGGACAACAAAGAGCATTGATTAGATGGTGTATTGAGAAGCAATTTGGTATAGCATATCTCAGTTGGCCCTGGTATCAGGTGAGTTCATTAGGATGGTGGTTCCTTGGATTAAGTGTGAATCAGTTCTTAAAATGTAGCTTAGAATGCTAAACCTGCCTTAGAAAAGCGCTTGGTAAATCTTCCCTGTCTCCAAAGAAGTACCTTTCTGTACATGCCCTCTCCAACCCTGCACAAGCGCAGGAGTCTCCATTTTCCCAAGTTCTCCTCTTCACCTCCTTTAGTGCCAGCACTGAGTGGGCCAAACGTGGCTCTGATTTAACAACAATTGTTACGTTAATGTTTTCCTGGTTTTTGCTTCATCTCATTTTATCTCTTTCTCCCTCTCCTTTTCCCTTCTCACTTTACCCTACTCCTTTCTTCCATCCCTTCTTTTCTTCTATGCATGAGTATTCAGCTATTTAATCCCTATGTGAACTACTTTGCCTAAAGCCAGTCAATAGCCTACAGAAGCTTAACATCTGTCATGGAAAGCTTAATCATTAATTTGACGGATCTAGAACTCCATAAGAGACAAGTCTCAGGCATGTGTGTGAGGGAGTGTCTATATCAGGTAAATTGAAGTGGGAAGACCCACCCTAAATGTGGGTGGCACCTTTCCATTGGCTGCTTTCCTGAACTGAATAAAAAAGGGAGGGAGGAAGGGGGAGAGAGAGAGAGAGAGAGAGGGAGAGAGAGAGAGACCTAAGCACCAGCATGCATTGCCTTTGCTTCCTGACTAGTATTGCAATATGACCAGCTGCATCAAGCATGTATGAATGAAAGAAAGGCAAAGGAGGTAACAACAGAAAGCGAGGCTCACGGGCTCATCTACACAAATGTCTGCTGTATATCTGCAGCATATCTGGGAAGATGCCACACCCAACTGGGAAAAGTGAGACTCTTCCTTTGCTGTGCTGTGCACACAGGCATGAGACATGCAGCGAGTAGATCTGTCAGTCCTGAACTTCATTTCCATTCTATGGCAAAAGACAATCATACACTTATGCCAGCTATTTCTCTACCAAGGTCTCATCCAGAATACTAACAGCATGAGGAGGAGTACAGAAGGTCAGACCTCCAGCACTCACACAACAGCCACCTGTAATCCTACCACTTGGGAGACAAAGACAGCATGCTCAAGGGGACAAATGGCTTTCCCACATCAGCCAAATCAGGGGTTCAGCAAAAGAGCTTAACTCAGAAATGAAGTAGAAAGCTATCAAGGAATATTTTGATATCAACCTCTTTCCTCTACATTTATACACATGACCACATATAATATGATCATGCACATGCAAACATGCATTCAAACCACACACATATATACATACATAAACCTCACAAAGCAGAAACAATGAAACTGTCAACAGCCCCAATGGTGAGGTTATACCTCAGCTATATATTATATATTTAAAGGTACATCCTATAAAATTTATTACATTCTGCTCAATCAATGCACTGGGCAGCATAGCTTTGTTGCAAATATCCCTATCATTGTGACAAACAGTGTTGAGTTACAATATTGATTCTGGAAATCTATCAAACAATGAGTCATTGATCAACACTTTTTATGCTGTCACATTGAAATAACCAGGGCAGTGCCAGAAGGTATGTCCTATTTTATAAGATGCAGCCTGTGTCTGGTACACAGAAAGTACTCATGATCACAGAAGAGAGCCAGTGATCAAAATGCTGCTGGAGACTCTAGTATGATTTAAAATTTCTCCCATGGCTAAAGGTATCTGGATAGGCACATCCATATTGATACTTAAATGATGCCATACTCAATCTATCCCAATCAAGACACACACTCCAATAATGGCATCCTTTGGTATCTGCCATAGATAAGCATCTAATGTCTCCACATTTCTGAGTGATGGAGGACACAGTTCTTTATTTGGGCTAATATAACTATGATGGATAGTTTTGCCAATTTGATACAATACAGAACCACCTGTTATATGATTCTCAATGAGGGATTGTCTTGATTAGAATGGCTTGTGGGCATGTCTTTGAGGGATAATCTTGATTAAGTTAATTCCTGTGTTAGGACCTAACATAAAGTAGGTGGCACTATCCTTTGGTTTTAGGTCCTAGACTATATAAAAGAGGAGGAGCTAAACTGAGAGTAAACATGCATGTATTCATTCTCTCTGTACTTGACTATGGATGTAAAGAGTTACTTCAGGTTCCTGCCTCTTCTTTCTTAGTGATGGATTCTAACCTGGATTGTAAACTGAATAAGCCCTTTCTTTCCTGTTACTTCTGTTGGAAAATTTTATCACAGCAACTAGACAAGAAACTAGGGCAATGACTAAGCAAAACTTTCATTCATTCATTCATTCACTGAACATGAATTACACACAAAAAATAGAAATGTTGGATCTTCAACTGCCTTTGGCCAGATGACATTTGCCAACATACCTGTCACTGAATGCTAAAGAGTGAGGCATAAATTAACAGACAAAGATGACCTATAACAGAATGTTTCCCCTTTTTCAATTTCATCAGGTTAAACTCAATAAAGCACAGTAATTTCTGAAATGAGATTCAATGGAGAGAAGCATAACAGAAGTGAGCTTGCTCCTCAGACTGACCTGGGCTACAACTCTATCAAGATGTTTCATCCAGTGCCATCCACATGCTTGCACAACTCACTGAATTTGTGACCAATTTAAATGAGTGGTGATAAAATTTGTCACAAAACACTGCTGCCTCTCTTCCATTTTAAGTTACACAAAGTTCACCTTGTCTCTGTTCTTGTGATAGTTGGGGAGCTTTGATTGTATAAAAAGCCAATCCTCCATCTTTAGATCCTGCTTCAACTAGAAAGATTCATAAATACTGCCTGAAGATAAATTAGACTTTCACATGGAGTATAATTTATGAAAATTGTAGAATACTTTAACTGATTCCACCAAAAAGAAGATATTAAATCTTGATGAGTAGCAAACTCCTTCAAGAAATAAAATGTGATGTTTAAATAGAACTAAAACAGCAAAATAAATTTAAATTCTTTCAGCAGTAAATCATATTACTTACAGGAGTTATTAATTAAGGAAAAGACTTATGATCATAAGAAGGTTTTAAATCACTTGATATTAGATTCTGCTGGATGTATAAAACACAGTTAATGGAGATACATGTATGGTGGATGATGAAATGAAAATCTGATGATCTCAAATTCTAGTATCTCTTTTCCTTAAGCACGAATATTTTCAGTGATAATATTTTCAGATTTAAAAATTACATTAGCCCACATATAAAGGAAGCAAATAAGAAATATACATGGAATAGAGATAGAGTTCATAGCTGGTGGTGAGTTATACAGTGTGAGTGTTGATAGAAAACAGTGCAAAAACAAAATAAATACTAGACTAGCATATCTAAAATATTCCCCCTCCTCTCCATCTGTCTGTCTGTCTGTCCCTCTCTTTCTCTCTATACACAAGCATGCTGCATGACACACACTCATACACATACATACATGTATACATATATGCACACACAATTCACACCCACAGTCACACACACACACACACACACACACACACACACACACACACACAAACACACACGCACACACACACACAAGCCCCTTGAAAAGCAGTGACTTTTCTTAGTTCATATTCTATTGGCAACCTATTCAGAGATAATATTGGTGCTAGTGCTGAATCTCACTGAGGGAGTGAGTTCCATCTTACATTAGCTAGGGTTTCTATTGCTGTGGCCAAAAGTAACTTGGAGAGGATAAGGTTTATTTTGCTTGTACTTGAATATCACAGTCAATTATCAAAGGAAGTCAGGGGACAACATCAAACAGGGCAAGAACCTGGAGGCAGGAGCTGATTTAGAAGCCATGGAGGGGCTGCATACTGCCGTGCCTTACATGGCCTTTTCCGCTTGATGTCTTATAGAATCCAGGAACACCAGCCCACGGATGGAACCATGAACAATAACTAGTACCCCTCACATAAACCACTAATTAAGTAAAGGCTCTACAGACTTCCTTATAGGCAAAATACATGGAGACATTTTCTCAATTGAGAGTCCCTCTTTCAAGTGTCTCTAGCTAGTGTCATATTGACATAAAACCAGCCAGCACTCCATAATTTTTACTTCTGAAACTGAAGTTCTTTAGTTTAGTTAAACAATTTGATCACACTTTTAACAGTAATTATCAGGAGTTAGGAATTACTATGAAGAGTGATGGACTGGAATCTCTATGCCTATGCTGTAAATTTTTATTACAATGACCCAAAACATAAAATTCCATAGATGTCTGAAAATAACATATACAAAGAGAAATGGTACCAAAACAGTCTGAGACAGCCCCTAAGTTTGTGAAGGAGTAGCATAAACTTTATTGTGATGATCTATGAAGCTAGAATAAATTTATAAATTTATAAAATTTAATAGTAAAAAATAACAACATATTTCATTTCCTAGTTGTAAAAATATTAGGAATTTTCCTTGAGCTAGGGCAAAAACTATCTTGTAGGTGTTTAGCACAAAGTATGCAGTATGATGTATCCTACCTACAAACAACTGACTATTCAGCTGAAGTCGGAAATGGCCTTCCTCTGAGGTCTCCCTTGTACTCCGTAGAAGGTTATCCACCTGCAGGGAGGTCTCCTTGAGGTTCCTCTCAGCCCGGATAAAATGCCATTGGTTGTCATTCAGAGGAGAAGGAGACTGGACAAGGAGCTCGACAGGGCCATTCCCAACATCAATGGCGAATGTGACCTCAGAAGCAGCTGCAGCCAAACAGGAAAGAAGGATGAAGGCCATTGTCAGTGTGTTGCAGGCACAGGCATGTTCAGGATGTTTAGGGAAAGGAATTTTAAGTCTCTGTCAGTGTGGAGAGAACATCTCTGAATTCTCTGGAACACTGGGATCACCATCAGCAGTATCAACTGCTAACGACTAAGAATGTATGTCTTCTATGCCCTGCCCACATCGGTCATTCCTAGTTGTTCAACGCAGGAAGCAGGGACCTGGGGCACTTGTGCCTATCCTAATCTCTGTTGAATCTCTGGGTTTCCTTGGTCTACCCTGGTTTTACCTATATTCTACTGTACACAAGTGGTAAGCTAAGCATCTCCAAGCTATAGAGAGGAGACCCATGTCCTTAGAACAACAGCACCATTTGCCAGGATATTTAGTCAATGCGTGTGATGCAAACACTCATATTTCCATATCCAAAAATTCCAAAGTCAGGCTGGAGAGAAGGCTCAACAGGTAAGAGCACTTGCTGCTCTTCCAGAGAATCAGAGCCCAGTTTCCTAATGTTCAGATGGGGTATCCCATAACTGCCTAAAACTCCAGCTCTAGGGATATGATTGTTCTCTGGCCTCCAGAGGTACCTGGATACATGTGTAAATACCCACATAGATAAATACACATAAATAAAAATATATCTTAAAAATATTCAGATGACTTTGATAATGTCAGTTGCTTGTCCATGGTAATAACACTGAAAATGACATAGCCTTAAATTACTCAGAAACCCACCCCCATGTTGGTTACTATCCAGGACTCTCTCTCCCTCTTTTAACAATATATTATGGAAATCAATTGGCAACCTTTCATTAATAATAATACCAATGATATTAAAATGATGGTCATAATGAAGATAACAATGGTGCTGGTCCTGGTGATGGTGGTGGTGATGATAACCATGGTGACTGTGGTGATGTACTGGTGACAGTAGGGATGGAATCTAGAAGAGGGATTCTGAAGAGCATGGTGATAATACCTCAGAGGGCAGTGATTGTGGTGGTGCTGACTGATGAGGCTAGGCTGACTGACAAGCCGGATCCAGGGAATCTGGACCTTTCTCTCAATAGTGGGATTAGAAGCATGTGCCACCACACCTGATTTTTTAATGTGTGCTCTGAGGGTCAAACTCAGGTCCTCATGCTTATTAAACAACACTTGACAGCTAAGCCATTCATTCCCCCAGACCTGGTTTCTCCTTTCTGTGTCTGTTTTAATTGCTTTAGATATTTATTTATTTTATAAATATGTTTTACCTAATTGTATGTCTGTACACCGCATGCATGTCTGATAGGGAAAGAAGCCAGAAAGGGTGATGGATCCCCTGAAACTGGCATTACACATGGCTGGAATGACCACATAGGTGCTGTTGACTGAACATGGGTCTTCTGTAAGAATAGCAAGTGAGATTAGCCATTGAGCCCTCTCTTTAGCTTCAGTTTCTTTTCTTCTCTCTCTCTCTCTCTCTCTCTCTCTCTCTCTCTCTCTCTCTCTCTCTCTCTCTCTCTCTTTCTCTCTCTCTCTCTCCCTCCCTCCCTCCCTCCCTCCCTCCCTCCCTCCCTCCCTCCCTTCTTTCTTTCTTTCTTTCTTTCTTTCTTTCTTTCTTTCTTTCTTTCTTTCTTTCTTTCTTTCTTTCTTTCTTTCTTTCTTTCTTTCTTTCTTTCTTTCTGTTTGGTTGTTTGTCCAGATAGTGTTTCTCTATGTAGCCCTGGCTGTCCTGGACCTTCTTTTGTAGACCAGGCTGGCCTCAAACTCATAGAGATCCATCTGCTTTTGACTCCTCAGTACTAGGATTAGAAGCATATACCACCACTGCCCACATCTATTTCTTATTTAGATCACTAGTTCCATCTTGAAAATCTGCTCATCTCAAAATCAAACATTTATTGAGAGATGACCGGCTTTCACATATATCTATCTCTATGTATACAGGACAAAGATTCGTGGGAATATGGGGGAGAAATATTAAATATTTTGGTAAAATTCTCCGTGCATGGTTAGTTTAAAAGTATTAGGTTACCATCAGACAGCATGCCTTTTTAGGAGGCTAGATGCTCTGCTGTCCTTGCCCAATTCTTTCACCAAGTTGGGCTTCTTGTCTGTACTGAGCTTAGCTATACCATGCATCACCTATACTATACGATCTGATTGTTTGTCTCCCCAACCAGTCTGCAAGCTGTAGAGCAGTGGTTCTCAACCTGTAGGTCATGACCCCTTTGGGGGTTGAATGACCCTTTCACAAGGGTCACATATCAGATATCCAGCATATCAGATACTTACCTTATGATTCATAACAGTAGTAAAATTACAGTTATGGAGTAGCAAGGAAAATAATTTTGTGGTTGGGAGTCACCACAACAGGGGGAACTGTATTAAAGGGCCAAAGCATTAGAAATGTTGAGAAACACTGTTGTAGATAATTTTTTACTTATCACAGACCACACACTAATATTGGGCTTGAGTAGAGCAAGCTCACTTACTACAGACCCAGCCCTCCATCCTGTGCTTTTATGTACATATCTCTGGCAAAAACCAAGGCTGGACTCCTCAAAATTAATAAATGCTGCAGTTCTCTTTAGCTGCTTTTTGTTTTTATACTTGGGTTCCAGAATCTTTGTAAAAAGCTCTTTTAAATGTTTTGTTACTGCTGATCTTTATTCAAGTAATTATCAAAGACCAATAATATTTAAACCATACCTTCTGGACATTAAAGAATCAGTAAAATAGTACTAGTAGTAACATTAATATTTATTAAGGGCGTCACACAAGCCAGACATTGCATAGCATTTTCTGTCACTGAATTCAGTAAGGCCTCAATACAAACTTGTTAGACAGGAGTATTTTCATCAGTGAGGGAACTGAGCACAAGTTGTCACAGTGGCTAAAACTAAGATTTAAATCCTGATGATATGCCTCTAGAGCTTTCATTTTCTTTTATTCGTAACATAACTCTTCATTGATTCTTTGGGAATTTCACATCATGCTCTCCAATCCCACTTACCTCCCAGTCCCTCCATGTCCTTCCCTCACTCCTGTAGCCTCCCTCCAAAAGAAATCCTCCCTCACAATCAATTAAAAACAAAACAAGCAAACAACAACAGCGAAAATAACTTGATCCTCCATCTTTCCAATACCTCTTCATTCATCCTGGTGGCACTGGGTACTATGGAGGGTCTCACAGTCTACCCTTTTGTCTGTTCAACCCCACCCACAAAATGTTCATTGCAATGAGTCATTGGTCTGGTTCAAGGCCTCTGTCACACCAGCATCACTGGATCCTCACCAAAACCTCTTGGATATCCTGATGTTGCCCCAAGTCATGGAGATCTTATGAATATAGCTCCACAGGACCAGTCCCTTCACTGCACTTCATCAGGTCACAGAGTAGATCTTAGGGTGGGCCAACCTGAGGCCCAGGATGTGGGTCTGAGAGGTAGCTGAATTGGTTGATCTGGGTCACTGGGACCACTCCCCCCTCAGGCAAAATGCAGAGCCCACTCTCCTAGGCCCATGTTTGGGGCCAGCTCTCCTTTGCCCATCTCTCCCAAGTGCATGGGACAGCTCTCCCAAGTATGTGAGACCAGCTCTCTTGTTGTAGTGTCTAGAAAGGGGCAGGGCCAGCTATCCTAGGGCAAATGAGGGGCAGGGCCAGCTCAACATGACCCTTGGATTTCAACATACATAATTCCTATGAACCCCTGTGGCAACGTGGGCCATGGACATCATCACAGACCCCAGTTTCAGTAGGAATATGGATCTAGACATGGCCCTTGGCAGCAGCCCAGGCCTGGATGACACCATGGCCCCATGTGGCAGTGCAGAGTACCCAGATTGGCATGGCCCTGGTGGCAGCATGAATCTCAGACATGAACATGGCCAGAGTTTGTGACCTTGACCCTGGGTATCCATGTGGCCTTTGGTATTACCATGGGTAGAGACTGTATATTTAACTCTTGCCTCCAACCTCAAATACCTTGTAGTCTATGTAGTCTCCCATGGCTATCATGGCTAGAATACATAATAGAGATAACTAGATGGAGTTGAATATAAAAAGTATGAATGAGCAGATGGTACCATAAGCCAACATGGGCTTGACTCCAGACTTTGTGGCAGGGCACAGAGGCAATCACATATTCTTATGGCCCTGGATAGGAAATGGGATGCAGTAACACTCTCATACTATCATAAACTTCCCATTTAAATGTCTCACTTAAATGTTCCTCTTAAATGATAGATATTTTCTCATTGTTTGCTCCTTTATTGTTCAGGACAAATCTAAGGGGCCTTTGGATGGTATTCATCAAGCCGGATCAAGTTCCTGGGGAGTTAAGAGATGAATGAAACAACATGAGCTCACCACTCTGTTGAGGGAAGATTGTCAAAAGAAGAGCCTATAGAGGAGGAATGCCTCACAAGGGTTCCAAGGATCAAAGCAGCCTAGAAAAGACCATTGACTCTTCTCCCCTACCTCTACAGCAAAAATGTGTCACTGTACCCTGCAGAGAATACTTTGGTGTCTACTCTCCACTGCTTTTCCCATTACTTAGCTCAAAGCTTAACAAAGAGGCATTCATGTGTCCTCAACTCCTAGCCCAGATCAGAGATGAGGATAATAGTGTTCTGTGCTGGACAACTTACTATCAATGGACATATCAACCTTGCTGTTTGGATAGCAAAGAGGAGAACTCTCTAGGGATGGGACTGTGTCTCCTCTGAGTCAGTGCATCTGTTAAAGGACCTTTCCTTTCTAAGGGGCTGGTCTGCATGGTTTCTTGCTATGACATATTTAGCATGGAAAGTCCATCTGCTTAAATGAGTAGTGTTACTGGATCTGTAGCCATGAAGAGTAAGGTTTTTGATATTTTGTTACAGTTTTTCCCTTCATAGCAGTAGCAATAACAATAATATTAATAACTTTAGGAAATATGAGGCTTGTATTTTTCTGACTTTGTGTTTATGGATTTACTTAGTTTCTATTGGTAGGGACTGAACTCGGGGTCTTGTGTGTACTAGCTAGTCCTCTTTGTTACTGAATTACATTCACATTCTCAGGTCTAACACTTAAAAATATTTAATACAAAATGCTTGTGTTTTAGAAAGCAATATTTGACAGTATAATCATAGTAAACATCTAATAATTACATTACAAGTTTTATTTGTATGTTTTTATAAATTTAATACTAAATTGAATTAAAGAAATTGTACTGCCCAAAGGGCACAGTGCACTGCTACAAAGTACAAACAAATTGGACACTGATCTGTAATTAACACTCAATCACTGGTGATTATCTTGTGATAATATACCATAACATTGACTTGGAATTAATGAATGAAAAGGCTTTATGGCCTGATTTTTTATTACATTTTACATTGAGGTTATTACATCCACACTATGGAATGGTTGGTATTCTACCTGCTTTGCAGAGTCTGAGCAAGTTAGGTATGAAGGATTTTTATTTTACACCAAAATCACAAAAGCTTCCCCCATTAGTAGCGTGTATTCTTGGAAAATAAGTGAAAAGTAACATGGAGACACTCCCTTTTCCCATGTGTAGTCTGCAACTGCAAAAGAAACACTTAGCAGCTCACCCATGTGCTAGAGACCCACACAAAACCTCCACCCTGCCTTTCTGCAAACGTACTTGTCTTCTTGTGGGGAACTCTCAAATTTCCAATATCTGAGGATTAGATGTTTGCTTAGCTTTCAAAGGTATCTGGTGCAGTTAAATCACAGTGACATGGTCAATCACCTCACTCAAACTATCGGAAAACATCCACTTAGACTAGGGTAGAGGGATGTTCAAGGACAAGCTCAAGCAAGCTGTGGTCACGAGCAGAGTAAGAGCAAGGCGGGGTACAGGTAGTGGAGACCACTTAGTCTAAAGATCCCAGAAGCACGTGTGTGCACCTGCATGGAGAGGCTAGGGGACAGTATTGGTGTCATTCCTCAGGATTCCCTCCAAGCCTTGTTTTCTGAGACAGAGTTTCACTGTGTTTCCACTTCCCTCTCTGATGTAACATGAATGTGTGCAGAGGAACACAAGTGGCAGCACAGGAAGCAGAAGAGCTCAAGTTCCTGCAAACCCTTGATAGTTTGGTTCCGTCTCTCCCTAACAGGAGCAAAATCTACGATGAATTCTGCATTCAAATATTTGCTGCACAGATTTTTGATTACTTGGATATTTTGAGGTCACTAGAATTGATTCTGGTTAAAAGAAAAAGATATGGAGAATGTTATAATTATTGGAGTTTAAAAGAATGATTTATTTTACCAACTTGTCACTTTGTTGAAAATCTTCTCAAACCTTCTGAATATCTGAGTTTATATGAAAAACAATCTCATTGAAAATGAATAAAAATATTCTCTTTTAAATGTATTAGAAGATAAATAGGCTAATACAATTTATAGTTTCATTTGAACAAAAACAAGTACAGGAAATTAACTTTAGTGAAGCCATTGACAACTTTGCATAAAATCAAACTTATGGACAGACTTTTAAAGTTATTATTACTGAAACAGACTAAAACATTGTTGTTTTTCCATTTTCATAAAAATTAATTAATCATTGTATTTCTCTCCTTTTTGTGCTTTCATGTATTCTTATTAGCATGCTGATATGCGTTGTCCTTCAGTAGAATGTCTTTCCATCCATATTTCTTTAGTGTCCATTTGGCTTAATGATCATTAATGGCACAGGTCCCACAGATAGGGCATTTATTTATTTATACCTATTACAAAGGTATATAAATCATGCATCTAACCCCGCACATACAGTGCTACTGGTAAGAAAGAAGTAGAAATTCAGCATGAATTATCATTGACTAGTTATACTCTCCTATTGATGAAAGATAAGAAGTTGTGTGTGCGTGTGTGTGTGTGTGTGTGTGTGTGTGTGTGTGTGTGTGTGTGTGTTACTTGGTCAAGATGTGCTCAGGCATGCCAGAGGTGGATGTCCAAGTTCCTCCTCAATTATTCTCCACCTCATTTGTGGAACAGAGTCCCTCACTGAACCCAGAGCTCAGCAATTCCGCTGGAGGAGCTGCAGGGCTCCACCTGTCTGTGCCTCCTCTGGCGTAGGAATGCCTGGCTATGTTACTTGGGTTCTGGGGAACTGAACTCAGCTCCTCATGCTTGCACGCAGGTGCTTTACTGATTGAACTGTCTTCCCAGCACATAAAAAAAAATGACTTCTGAAGCATGGATACAGTTGTTAAGTGGATCCCAAATATCAAGAGAACCCTTGCTTCCCATATGGAGTGCAATCCCGAGGTGTGGAAGCTTAAAGGGACAGGTAAGAGATAGGCATGCCTTACTAGAGAATGGAGGTGGCAATAGCAACGCACAGATACTTTTGGAATGCACATATCCTGAAGAACCACCCGACACATGCTGAGAGAACACAATTAATCATAACACATTTGCAGAGATTTGACAGCTTCAGTGCTAGTTTTACTGATTATGGTTACATTGGCTCAACATTAACAAAATGTACTGGTGGCTGGTGGCAAGGATAAAGTCAAACCTCTGTGGACCACTGACACTGAACTCGTAAAGAAAGGCACTTACAGCTCATTTCAAGTCGGATGAAGTCTTTCATGCCAAGGTTCTCTAGGAAAACTCCAGATAAAGCGGTGGTTTTAAAAAAGAAGGAAATGTCAGCGCTGAATTCCGCATGGAAGGTAGGAAAGTGGAGGTAAGAAGCTTCAGTAGAAAAGGCAACGGCATTCCAGTAGTGTCCTGTGAAGCAGAGAGTCCATCAGGACAGGTGTGTGTTTCCACTGGGTGTAGAAAAGCAATGGGCTTGGGGGGAATTTTCAACACTAGGACAACACTGAAGGGAAAAGGGATAAGGGAACCAAAACAACTTGTGTTCACGTAATTCAGAGAAAGGGGGGTGTTGTACTCACGGTCACCATAGCAACGTAAAGGGCCAATTCTCCAAGCGGCTTCTGAGTTTGATCTGTTGGTATCAGTGATAATTATCTGAGTTACAGGCAAGTGATCTTTGAAGGTAAGAAAACCAGTATCCTTTGTCCTGAAAAACATAAATTTAAGGGGGAAAAAGGAAGGTTAAAATATAGATTATCTAGGGAATTTGTGTGAAGACACTTGTTTTGCAAAGTGAATTGGATTGAATGCAGCATGGCTAGGGTTAGGAGGAGCATAACAGAAGGCCTTTCATCTCCGGAACTGTGTGAATAGTTGGAATACCAATTACAGAACCCATGGCCTGCTTCCAAACACCACTGGATTTTATGTCTTCCCTAAATGTGCTTGCAGGAGCACAGGTAGTTTACCAAGTTCGCTGTGCTGATTGTGGCCAAGAGGACCCAAAGGCTCACTGCAGTGTTAATGTGACATTAAACATCACTTCTCTTTCCCATAAAAGAAGACCTGCTATCTAAGGACCTAACTTGAAAATAGATACCACAATTCCCTCTCAAAAATCACTTACAGAACTTGGCTGAACCACCTGCCAAAAGCTTTTAATCAGGCTTGAATGTTCCTTATCACCTTTTAAGTTGTGTTAAAATGAATCTTTATAGTTATTGGTTGCTTTTTGCTTTGTTCTTTAGAAAGACCTTGCTGGTTAATGGCTCTGGCTTTGTTCTTGTTAATTATGCAAATAAGGAAGTACCTAGTTTTCTTTTAATAGGAAAGTTTAAAAAGAATAGAGAAAGTCAATGTTTCCTCCTCTTTTTAAGCTGTCTTTCAGAATCAAGGTGATGGTGGTACCACTAGACAGAGCATAAAATTGGAAGTAAGAACCTGGCATTGTGGAGCTGTGCAGATAACTTAGACAGTCTGATCTGCTTGGTGTATGAGCATAGAGACCTGAATCCAGATCTTATGAACCTACACAAGAAAACCTGCCCTTGTTGCACTTGATTATAACCACAAGGCTGGGTAAGTGGAGACAGGCAGATCCCTGGGGCCTGCTTGCTGGCCAACCTAGCTGAATTGGTGAGGTCCAGGCCAATAAGAGACCTTGCTTCAAAAAATAAGATGTACTCTACAGTGTAGCTAGAGTTTTCCTGCCTGGCCCACAGTCAGGACAAATCTCTGACACCCGCCAGTCCCACAGCCTCTCAGACCCGATCAAGTAAACACAGAGACTTATATTGCTTACAAACTGTATGGCCGTGGCAGGCTTCTTGCTAACTGTTCTTACAGCTTAAATTAACCCATTTCTATTCATCTATACCTTGCCACATGGCTCGTGGCTTACCGGCATCTTTACATGCTGTTTGTCATCATGGCGGCTGGCAGTGTCTCTCTGACTCAGCCTTCCACTTCCCAGTTTTTTCTCCTCCTTCTCCCGCTTATACTTCCTGCCTGGCCACTGACCAATCAGTGATTTATTTACCAACCAATCAGAGTAACACATTGCCATACAGAACATACAGTACCCAAGGAATAACAACAAAAGCTGATTTCTGCCCACCACATGTACACTCATACACATCCACATGCACCAGCCTAGACACAAATAAAAATATGCATACATATGTATACATACCCATACACATACCGGGGGAGCTAGAAAGGTACTACAGAGGATGGATGCCATATATGACATTTTCAAAATTAAATAAAAACAATGTTTGAAAAATAATAGTACAAATTCAACTCAAATAAATAAATTTCCGTTGACTGTGCAAATACTTCCAGGATGAAATTCATTAAGGATAGGTGTAATCTTTGCCCACACAATTTTTCTCTGAAGTGTACATCACTATGTCCATTTACAAATGTTGAAAGTGGCTTGGAGGCACTGAGTTGTTGCCCAGTATCACAGGATAGAAAGGTCGGGAACCAAGTCATGGTTTTGCCTCCCTGGTATCTGTCTTGTGTTTAAGGACACATATTAGTAGTGTGGGTGAGTGATGTCCTTTAGGAAACACTTGGTGTGTTGAGTACACATCTGAATAGCAGCTTGCAGAAGATTAAATAAGATTCGCAGCTGCTGGGCACAGTGTCTCGTCTGTATTAAATACTCAGAATTGGTCTCACTGACACTTACTTTAGTTGTCTTCTTTGTCCCTGAACTATTCTGTGGCCTCGGGCAAGACAACTTATTTCATAGGCATCCAGCTATGATCCTGGATTGGAGATTTCTTGCTATATAGCACATGCGGAAAATTAAATTTTAAGATTTAGAATTGAGCTCATGAGATTTGGAGAAAAACACTTAATAATTTATCTAGGTTATAAATAAACCAAATATTCACCTGAACCCTTCCCGTACAGCCCCATTAAAAATACAAAGAAATACATAATATAATATCTGTAATTTGAGTGCTTTTGTTTAGAAACCATTAAAATGATAAAGCTTTGCTTCAGCTAAAAATCACACCTATGCATGTTACACACACAGAAAGAATAGATTTACCGTTTTTGTTCAAAAGTATTCACAAGTAGAGATTGTAAAGCGGAACTCAAACACCCTCAGTGAAGTAAAGACAAAATCCAGACTCCCCCCTGAAGAAACCATGACATGCTGTGTCAAGCTACTCCATCCCATTTTCATTTTCCGGCTACACATGCTGGGTTCTGAAGTCTGTCCATTGTGCTGGCTCATGCCCCCCTTAGACTCTATGACATCTTGTCCACATCTACTTGTTGACCCGTGTCAGCATATTGGCATATATAAAAAGCATGCTAAGTATAAAAGGGCTCTTCCAGATACCACAGGAAAATGTATATGTGGTTCAGTAGTGTAAATCACATTATCAGGAATGATTTTTATCTGGAAACGTTAAACAATAAAAAGAATTCAGGATTCCTTTCCCAGGAATGGTGTTTTCCATAGTGAACTTGTTCTCCTTACGTCAATCATGACGATACCCCCAGTCCAACCCGATGTAAATCCTCAATGAAACTGTCTTTCCTGAAATTCTAGGTTGTAGAAAGTTGATGTCTAAAACAAATAGCCACATTGGTAAATGTAACTGGTTTATACCAGCGACAGAGAAAGATGTACCTAGAGTCATCTATATCTGAGAAATGTTGATTCACAATTGTGTGCCACACAACCTAGTAGTTTAGTCATTTACTCTGCTTATGCTCCAACTAACACTGATGGCATCCATAGAACTTCTATCACTGCTGGTCATTTCTGTTTTTCACATCCCAGCTTTGTTCAGAAAATGGCACAATTCTGAAATTCTTTTTCTCAGGGTCCAAGATGTGAAATGGAATGACCAGCTTGTGAAACCAAGAATGGCTTCCCAAATATTAACACATTTGTGTGTGAACACACTCTCTGAAGTCCCACTGGCAGAGAGCAGTTCCTCCTGGCTGGAAGCTGGTGTATCACCATGTGGTCACTGTCTTCCCTGGACATTGCTGCATACAAAGTAACAGCTCTGAGTCCTTGAGCTGTCCTAGGCTGGTCTCTGGTTGACCATCCCCATTCTGTACACACTGGCTTTCTCCACACACTACACAATTCAATTGATTGGGTTTCAGTTTACTAATTTGCAATCATTTTCGAGACTGACTCCCTGAGATTACACCTGGGTCACCTTGGTCGATGCTGTGGGAGACCACAGCCTCCTCAGTTACAGACTAACAGCTCTTGTGCTGTATTCATACACAGCAGGTCCAGCCACTGCATGGTGAATTTACCAGAAGCCCTATTTCGGAGTATTTCAGACTTCAGAATTATCTCATTATTCCACCCAGAATTTGACAGTTGAAGGGAATTTCATTACACTGACATGGTATTTCTTTCTTAGTGTTAGCCCTTTTATTTCATATATAAATATTTCTTTATAATTCTCATAAATATAAATTTAATATATGAACCAATGTTGCCTCTTCTAATTAAAGACTTTGTAATATCACAGAAAATAATAATATTAATAACTACATGCTTTTTTCAAAACTGACTACACGCCACATGTGGTAGATATGAAGATTATTTGCTAACTCAGCTAGCAATCTCCAGAAATAACGACCCCACCTTTCTCTATTTTTAAAATAAAATCAGAACCTGAAGCTCCAAGAAGCTGAATGATTTCTAATTAACAGATGACAAATGTAGGTTTTGATTATCCTATTCCATAATAAAAATTTAGTTGGGGATTCATTAGAGTTAGCATCCAGACTACGACAGTGCTACCAGCCAAAAAATTAGGAAAAACTGTATGTGCTGAGTACATGATCAGCTCACAATATCAGTGCTGTAGATGTGCAAAGGAGGAGGATTAGCTCTCTCTGTGTGCATCATGAAAATTCTGTACTTTTCTTTACACAGTCATTGGGATTGTCTGAAGTACAGCTGTGTGTTTTTTTATGGGCTGTGAAAGCAGAACAAGAGAAATGGCATTGGGAAGGAGAAGAGGAGGAGACTGTCACATCACATTTGACCTGAGCCTCACCTCAGCAAGGCCTCCTCTTCACTCACTCACTCTTTGAACACTGAGAGCACAGTGATTTCACAGAGGGCAGGCACACCTCTCTCCAACAGAAAGGGCCGACTTGATGCTGAGGCCAGATATTCATAAGAATCCAGTGACTAACAGCTCCCCAAACTACTTAACCACTTATAATTTTTGCCCATTGGGAGAAAGTTCCAAAACAAAGCAAAAATTAGATTGGGCAACAGATAAAGATTAGCAAATAAAATGTTCTGATGAGGCAGGCTGGCAGAGCCCTAGGTCCTGCCTCTCTCCACCTGTCCAGAACTGGAGCTACAAGTGCTTACAACATGCCTGGAATGTTTTTTTTTAGGTTTTGTACCTGGCCTTTTACTTGGATACTGGGGATCAAGCTGAGGTTTCATGCTTGTGTGGTGAATACTATCATCTGAGTTACTTCTCTGGAACTAAGAACTACTTTTGAAAGAGATTAGAAAATTAATTCACAACAAAAATGCATATGGAAAAAAGAGATTTCTTCTGATAATATCAGAGCGGAACAATGTAGTCAAAAGCAGTTAAGTCTGAATTGGATTTAATCCACCAAAGAACAGAGGTAAACATCTGTCCAAGAGAAGTCATTAGTCATCATTCATGACTGCAGTATCAT